AAACGACCGCGTCGTAGCGAAGTTACAAAGACGCTTTTTAGCTCGAAAACTACTTAACTTATGGTTTGTTACCGGCGGCCATATTCGGGCATCGAATAATACAATAATACTCTTATAAGGATAAGGCAAGCACTGAGTCGTGCGACTAGCGACTATCAACAGTCTCCAGAACATCCAGTCTCCAGTCTTGAATGTGAAAAGGATGTCTGGAGATTGTTGGTTCCAACAGAGTCTGCTACAAGTACTTTTACCGTCCTGCTTTGCTTCGTAGACATATATATTGCTCTTTATTGTCGTTTTATCCTTTACTTGAATTCGGGTAAATGTTCAAAGTATCCTGTCAATTTTATTTACTAAGGGTTTTGTTTCATGGGATCATATTTTTTTGTTATTTAGAAAATTCTAAATTTTTATCTAACATGTCTAGTTTTATTCTGTTTTACTTTTTTGAGAGAAAAAAAAAAACTCAATTCACTTTTTCAAAAGAAAAACATTATTATAGCTTTCAGATATGAGGCAAAGTTTGAATTTTAGATGACCAAGCCTTCACAATTCTAGATCTCGGCAAAATCACGAAAAAAAATATTAGAATCAATTAAATGTCTAGTTTTAGATAGTCTTATTTTTTTAAATGAAAAATAATATTAAAAATTTTTTTTTTTTTTTTTATGTTAATCAAAATTAGAAAAATTACAGTTTGAAATAACATTTTTCAAAATTCAATTTTTTAATTTAATATTCAGAGCTTTTAATGTAAATATTACATCCTACAATGTAATTCTTATAAAATTTGTAATATTTACAATCTGAAACTGTAATTTTTCCAGTTTTCTTTTTTCCGTGTTGGTGTATGCCGGGCTCGAACCCGATCCAATGCTTTAGTAAGCAAGAGTCAGATCCGACAGGCTACTGGGCGCCTTATTAAAATTTTAATATTTTGTAAAAAGTCATAATTTTGAAGAACCGAGCTGTCAATGATGTCGTAAGTCATCACATTTTTAAATGTCTTCGAAATTTCCATTAAATAAATGACTAGTTTTATACTCAGTCTTTCTAGTTTTTTGAAGAAAAAAAAAAATATCATTGAAGTAATAATGAGAAAAATCTGTCTTAATCTTTCAGTCTTGTTCTTGATGTTGCAATTTTGCAAGACCGACTACAATATTTATAATTCCTAGTGATCAATTATTTGAAAAGCAACAATGAAATTAAAAGTATCTGATATTAATTGCAATAAACGGAATTACTAAAACTAAATATACACCAAAAGACAAGAATGTCACAATTACAGAAAATTTTCAACCAGAAAAATCACCGAGAAGAGCTTTAAATTGTTTTAATCTGGAAATGAAAAAAAAAAAAAGTATCTCTACTTGAGTTTTCAATTTAAACCTTCAGCTGATCCATATAAAAGGCAGCAATAATCCAAGCTAGATTGACGACTAGTACCCGGTTCACTTTGCTCATGTCCGATAAAATCAAACAAAAATACAACTACCCTCTACTCGTTCATCGATGGAAACCGCATTCTCTTAATTAAGAGGTTTCTCCGTCCGGATATGTGGCGACTCGACGCAGTGTCATACTAAAACTTGACGCTGACGCTCCTACCCACTAAACCCTAAACCCCTTTCTTTTCTATCCTCTGATCCCCCATGGTACCGCCGTAAGGCGTTTCTTCGCGGGGGGAGGAATTAGCTGCCGCTCTTCCTTCTGGTGGCTAAGATGTTATTTCTTCTTTCTAGTTTCTGTCATTCGCTCTTTTCCTTTCAATGGATCGCAACTTGGTAAGCACTTTTGTAGCAAAAGTGCTTGTGGCGTTCCAGGCAGCTTCTGATGACAGCATTGCTGCTACTATTATCTCTGGTTGGATTTTCCTCTTCAGGATATTCTCCAGCTCATCCCGATGTGGGTAAAAACGTGAGCACTCAAAGAAAACGTGCTCTGCATCTTCATTGACTCCTGGGCAGGATGGGCACTCTGGGGAATTATCATGCTTGGAGCGGTGGAGATACGCCCGGAAACAGCCGTGTCCTGATAACATCTGTGTAAGATAATAGTTGACCTCACCGTGACTCCGGTTTAGCCAAACGTTGATCCTTGGTATGAGACGATGCGTCCACCTACCCTTCCCCGAGGTGTGTGTGTGTGTGTGTGTGTGTGTGTGTGTGTGTGTGTGTGTACACCTCTTGGAACTTTTGAACGACTTGACCGATTTCATCGCGGTTGGTGTCATTCAAAAGGGCTTCACTAAACTTAGATTTCCTGAAAATTTGAACCGATTCGGACCGGTAGATTTCGAGAAAATGCAAAAAAAGTGAAAAAAAAAAGTTGTTTTTTTTATATTTTTTTTGAATATCTCCGAATTGGCTGAAACGATCGGTCTCAAAAACTAATCAGCTCTTAACCTTGAAAACCCCCATCGATCGCCACCAAAAACGTTAGAATCGGTTGATGCGTTCGTGAGATATCGTTGTCGAAAAAAATCGAAAAAAGTGTTTTTTTGTAATAACTTCGAAATTCATGGCTCGATCAATTTAAATTTGGAAATTTTTCATGGAGCTCCAAAAACTGCGTCGATTGCCGCCAACCGCGTGAAAATCGGTTCATTCATTCAAAAGTTATTGCCGTTTGAAAATTCCAAAAATTGTGTCTTTAAACTGCTATTAGAGTTTTGAGCTCGAAGAGCTCAAATTGACACAAAAATAATATTTTTGAGCTCGAAGAGCTCAAAAACGTAATTTGTAGTTTGAAGCGTTTAAGTACAAAATGAGCGGGAAGTTGCAGGGATGGCCTGTAGGGTGAACCGTTTTTCTAATTTTTTATAATGTAGAAATCATCTCGAATCTTACGAAATTCCTCCCCCACATAAAAGTGCGGGGGTATTAATTGTCAAAAAATGCATATTCTTCAAATACAGTTTCTACAGATGAATCGTTTACTTGAGAAAACCCATAAATCATATGGGATTTTCATATGACTTATGGAGTTTCTCAAATAAACGATTCAGATATAAAATTTGAAAGAATCTCAAGAGAAACAGGAAATTAGAGGGATCGCCTCCAAGGTCAACCGATTTAAATATCTTTTTTTCTCAATGATTAGATTTCAACTAAAAACGAATTTCGTGATAATTGACTTGATATATAGGCTGGGCTAGAGTGGTGAGTCAAATGTAAAAAAATGTTTTCGTTTATTAATTAGGACTTGTTGAGACATGAAATTTAGGACATATCGATTAACTTCAATAACATTTAATAAAAATTTCCTTACAACAATCGTTTCTTTGGCAGCGGGGAAAGTCATTATAAGGTTTACAAAACTTAACATTACATGTAGTTATACAGTCAACGGACTAAGAATTTGATATTCATGTTATTTTTGCTGATCACATAACCAATTAATTGTTTTTATTACGAGATTGCGGAAAAGTGACAAATTAAAATGAATGCATTTTTCAAACACTTGATATGTGAAATGGAAATTTAGCTACTTATTTTAATAGAATTCGCAAAGATCATGTACAATTAATTTTCTATACAAAATTTTATATAAAAAAAATTGATGCCACGCAGAAAATTTTAATTAACAGTAAAATTCGTCGCACTTTAAGCAAGGCAGATTTTAACTTCACTTATGAGACCTGCAACTACTTTGACTGAAACTTTCAATACTCATTTCAAATTTTTTCCTTCGTGTCAATTATTATTCATTTTTGTAAGAAAGTCACGGAAATGTTATAATGATTGCTCATTGAAAGTTACATTGAATATTAGCTAGAATAATTACATGGATAAAAGGTACAGGCCAGTTCTATGGAATTTGGAATCTCTGGAAGTCAAAACAATACTTTAATTAAATATCAAGTCTACACTGAAAAAAACGTTTTCTACGCTTCAGGATACAGTATCGCTACTGTCACCATACGCACGTTACGAAACACTGGATCGCTATGGTCACTATCCGTTTTGCTAATTTAGCAATCTATTGAATACACCTAGCGGTGACGGAGAAACTGACTTTGCATAATTTATTATTGGTGTTTCAAATAATGATTTATATGATCGAAGCCAAGTTTTAAATATTTTATCCAGTAATAATAATTACGACAATAATCACCATGCACTTAATAATTGTCGATAAACAATGACATTTGAGGTTAGGAACTTACGCCGAAGACCTGGCGCTTCGAGGTTAGATCGCGACCGTCAGGATCCGTTCCCTGATTATAGCGATATGCCGTTCACGATACAACGGATAGTGAAGCGTAGAAAACTTTTTTTTCAGTGTAGATCTAAAAATATAATTCTATAAAGCACCGAGCGGAGCGGGTGGGTAACAGCTAGTAACATATATTTTTTCGGTGATTGTGGGTCACCAATAACATTAAAAAAATTAAAGATCAAATTTTTATTTATTAATTATCGATGCTTGTAATTATTCAAATAATCTCAAAAAAATAATAAATATACTCTTTAACGTCCCCTACAACCTCGTTTTGGATTTATCTCTTTAGCTTAATTATTTTTTAAGATATGGCTGTTTGACGGATAATCATACATACAGTCATATCTCTAGATTAAAGTAAAGTACGGCAGGAAAATTCATATAAACTGCATACGCACATCGAGTTGATACTATAACATGAATTTCAATAGAAGTTGTCTTTGGGGGCCGATTCACAATACTTATCCTGCTACACCCTTTATGAAATTTCAGAAAAGTTTGTCAGTCCATTTTACGCATGAAATTTTATGAAAAATCCTTTTTCGGGTTCTTTTGAAATGTTGACAAATTTATATTTTCAAGTCGTTTTTAGGAAAAGGACTTAAAATTCAAAGCTTGGCATCTTTAGATGCATACAAAAATATGTCAAAAATTTAACTAAATGAACAATACGATTTTTAATATCCGCTGATCTGGTATCAAATAATCTAATTAGCAATCAAAAAGCCGAATTATTCTGAATAATCGGATCATATTATTTTTGTTTTGAACAGATGGGAACTAAGTCTCGTCAAAAGAAGGTATTGGATCATTACTTACTTTATTTATCGTTTTTTTAACATCTTTCTATTAATAAATAATATTTTAATTTACTACTTCTCATTACTTCAGACATCGCTTTCACGAGGTTATTCAACTTCTTCTACCGTGATGATGTTTGATGATGATCCTGGAATTATGTCTGAGGTTGAAACGTCTAGTACTGGATTTCGAAGAGGTGGAAAACAAAGGAGTAGTTTACCCGTTGTTCGAACACCTAGCAAAACACTTGAGCGACCATTAGGTAAGAAATGCTATCGAATGAAAAAAAAAAATCATTTCTTAATTTGATAAGAAGAAATTGATTATTACTTTAAACTACTTAGGATTAGTTTTCCTACAATTTAGAAAAGAAACTAAAAGAGCTTTGCTGCCGAATGAAATAACAAGTATAGATACTGTGAAAGCTCTTTTCGTTCGAAGTTTTCCAAAGCAACTTTCGATGGAATATCTTGACAATCCAGATGTAAAAGTGTATATTCACGACAGTACTAAAGACATGTTTTATGAACTTGAAGATCATCGGTAAGTTTGATTGCATGGACGAAAACTAATTTCTATTAGAAATTTTTTTTTCTTTCTGTTATTATAATTAGATCACATTTGAGAGACATCAAAGATCGCAGTGTTCTCAGAGTAATCGAAAAATCGGACAGGATCATAGGTCTGACTCCAGGTTTTGGATCTGTAATCAGTGATGCTCCTAGTATTTCTCCTCATTGGGAAGATCAAAGTTATTTCAGTGAACCTGAGTTTGACAGTGATTTTCAACATCAGCACATTCACAAAAGCAAAGTATGTTATACATGATATACTGTCGTTCTTTTTTTTATGGAAGATTCAATAAATATCGTTGTTGAATCTGTTTAGTCAATAATTAATCGACAACCAACAGTTTCACAGTAAACATTATCCTCAAGTTCACTTTTATTAAATATTTAACGAAATAAAAATATATGTTCTACAAGTAAATGCAGAATAAGAGAAAAAACAAAGTTCTAGAAGAACTTTTCTATTTTTAGTTCGTTGGTCCATTATATTTATCATGATTTTCGATAAGCTAAATACTATTTTGCTGGCTCTTTTGCATGCACTTTCAAGTAAATCACGAACAGCTTTTCATTGATTATCACTCCCCGATAGCGTAGTACCTTTTTTGATGTCAATTTTGTCTTGCTCATACCCATGTCAAATGATACCAAAAAACCTCTTTTGGTCGGTCAGCACGATCATCTCCGCTTTTTGTTAGTTCAGTTTTAGCTGAGGTTCATGGAGCTAGATGTCGATGGCGTCAATGGTCAACGAGACTAAAAGTTCAGTCTCCTCAACGCTGTCCTCCATTACTGTGGTCACAACATCATCAGTGGAACCTGTTAGCTTGATTTACTTCTGTAAAGGTATCTTCAGTAGTTCATAATACTTTGCGTTCTTTAGCTCGAGGCTCGTTACTGAACCCTGTGGTACGCTGGCTGTCATCGGGTATTTTCGAAAGCCTTCTGTGGTTTTTACGATAAGGGTGTTTGCATCGAGATTTTCGTTGAATATGACTGTGTTTTTCTTATTTATCTAGAATCGGTGCTCAATTGCTTCAAAGATGGCGTCCCATGTCGCTAGCTGAAGAGAGTTGCCTTTTCTTCGAGTTTTTCATCTACTATAATATTGTATTGGTGGACTTAGGAGTAAACAGTGCCATGATTTGTGAAGTCAACTGGAGAGACATTTGTGTAGTAGAGACTGTCCATCTTACTGTCTCCTTTGGGGCAGCACCATAGCCTTTGAGTGCCAGGTTATAGGATGTTGCAATGGACTTGACGTGTGTGTGTGTGTGTGTGTGTGTGTGTGTGTGTGTGTGTGTGTGTGTGTGTGTGTGTAAATTCCTTATAAATTTTGTTCGGCTTGACCGATTGAAACGCAGTTCTCGGCATTTGATAGTTTTTTTTAAGTGAAACTTCTTTAGGCGCATGAAAGTAAAATTTTTACGGATGACACGCAATAATAATAATAATATTAGCGTAATAATAATAAATCGCATCGAAAACAGTTCATTCATTCAAGAGAAATCGCTGTCGAAAATTTTGGAGAAAAATGGTTTTTTCTACCTAACTTAAAAATTTTGTTTTGGATCGTTTAGCAAGTAAGAAATAATCTTATATTTGAAAAACTGCGTTGATTACTGCAAATCGCATCTTAATTAGTCAATTTGGTCGAGAGATTTAATTTAAAAAAATTCCAAAAAAGTGTTTTTATCACATGACCTCATAATTTTACGACGAATTGCTTGGTAGGTGATAAATTATCTTTTGGTGCTTGAAGAACTTGAAAAATATAAAAGTTATGTTTTTCAGGATAGTTAATTTTTCAAGCGTTTTCAACTATATATAGCGGGAAATTCTGGGGACGTCCTGCAGGGTCAACTGTCTTCCAGATTGTATTATGTAACCGATGTTCGGTCAAAATCGTCTTTTTTTTCGAAAATTATCGTCAAAAAATCTTAAAAGATGCTTAGTTGTAAAGGCAGAGGTGTTCATTTTTATTCGTTTAACAATCAGCAAATATGAACGTTTTTTTATGTAATCGATTGATTACATTAAGATTAATTGAGATAAATTTCTAGACAATGAAGGCCAACTAAAAATTACAATATTTCGTTGTTATCAGCTTTTTATTGTTAAGTTATTTCACTTAAATTTTAATAGCACAACTCATTCACGCTATCACAATTCAGCCTATTTTTAGTTATTAAGTTATGAACAATCCATGTGAAATGGTTAAACAGCTTAATTAATAACACGTGCACGCTCATAGAATTAATGCAAGATTTATTGGCAGCGTAGAATGAAAATCAAATACTGAATTAATAGAACTAATAGAGAAATAGTTAGTGAATTTAATTGTGTAAATTTTAATTAAGCTGAGAAACGGATTAACTCAAAAAAATTAGATTGAGATTACATCTACAAGAGAAGGCCATTCGGCAGCTGAAATGCACGGAAAGAAAATTGTACGAAAAATTACGATGAAAACATCGTAATTTTTAGTATAGGACATTGTAGTGCCGGACCAAAACTCAATCATCATAATTTATACGATGTAACATCGTAAATTTCTATCACTCAAATTAAAAAGAAGTTTAGGACACCGAAGAAATAATTCTGTTTCACCGAGGAATCGAACCTGGTGTCCTCTCCACCACAAGTCCAAGGTTTATCCCCTTACGCTATCGTAGGGAATATCTAAATTTTCTGTTCAGTCACATAATAAGACTCTCCATACAGTAGTTGGTTATCTTTCGGTGGTGGCGTCGCAAACTACTGGACTCCGTCTCTCTTTTATTAAAACATATAGTATGCGTCCGTATTCACTTGCTCTAACGGAAAAAAAATTTACTAAATAACATCGTAATTTTCAATAATTCAAATTGTATTCTGTAGACGGCAGCATCGGAAAAATCAACATACTGAAAGTCTAGTCCTGGATTACGATGTTACCATTGTAATATTTTATAGGATTTTTTTTCCGTGTGGATGTAGGTTTCATCTCTATAAATAAAAATAAATGTTGCTAAGCGCGAAACTTGAGAATAGCTCGACCAATTCGGCTAATTTTTCTTTGTATGTTCCTTAAGACACACGGAAGGTTCAAATAATAAAAAAAAATAAAAATTGCGTGGACTATAGTAAAAACAATATATTTCTTTTCACAAAGAAATTAGCTGTTAAACAGTTGACGTAAATTAACAACGTTAATCTAAAAATAGTGCCATTCGGCCTTACCTGAAATGGAAGGTAGATTTCATGCGATATGAGATTTTCTTTATTTATGTTATTCAATTTATTGAATAACAAATGTTTATGTAATTTTATAATTTACAATCCACTATAACTTTTGAATGAAGTTAACCGATTATCACGCAGTTAACAGCAGTCGATGAAGTTTTTTAAGTTCTGCAAAGAAATCCAAACAGCGAATTGATCAGATGAAAAATTTCGGAGTTTGTTTGAAAAAAACGCTTTTTTCGATTTTTTTTCGTCAACGATATCTCACGAGCGAATCAACCGATTTTGACCGGCCTGGCGGCGATCGACGTGTTTTTTTTTATGTTAGGAGCTGATTAGTTTTTAGAATCGATAGGAACAGCCATTTAAAAGTTATTCTAATAAAACCACATTTGAAAAAAAGTTTTCTTTATTTTAAAATTTTTGAATGGCCTATAAAATTAATAAAAATTATTATAAAGTATGTGTTATAGGTCACATAAAAGGTAATATAATCAGCTTCAACATTAAGTTTTCAAAAATTACCTTTTTTTTGTCAGTCAAAAGTTATTTCCGGTCTAAGTTAGAAAACTTGCAATTTATAAAATTTTGGAAATTATAAATGGCTGCCATTTCTATACTAATTGACCGATTTTGCTCATCTTTAAACTCGACCTAGGTAATAACCCAAAGACTATATGTATCAAGTTTCATTAAGATCGGTTGAAAACTTTTCAAGATATCTTGATGACAAGGTTGGTTATATTACATATATACATATATACTAGGGTGTTCCAAAAAAAGTCGATAATTTATTTTTTCGATTGCATGTCAAATTCTTGTTATATATGCTATAAGAAAAATTCTGTAAAAATTTGAGCCCTTAATATCTACTTGAAGAATTCCGTCACCGAATTTGAAGATTTACTGTTGATTTAACATGGAAAAATGATTTTTTAACCTTCATTTCTCCTGAAAACTATGCAGAACATTATTTTTCGGAAAAACCATCACTGATCCTTTTCAGTATTAAAGTCTGTAAAAAAAAGCTGTTAGGTTCTAGTCTCTAACGTCAACCCTCTCGTTTTCATTTGCGTTAAAAAATATAAATTTTTGAAAATTCGATTTTTCCATTTAATGTGTATAATTTTGATCTCAGACCATAAAGGTTGAGGAAATTTTAGTAAATCGTTCAATGCTTCACAAAGCTATGCCAAGAAAATTTTTTGTACCACTTTTGGCTCCAAAATTGTGAGGTTTGCAATATCTATTTTAATGATTATTCGCTATAACAATAAATTTTACAGAAAATTTTAAAATCTATCAACAAAATATCAAAATTTCTTTATAACAGTCAACAAAACGCTGTATTTAAGCTTCAATTCTTCCAATTTTATGATTTTTTTCATTTAATATAACAGTTTTTGGCTGTAACATATAATTTACACACAATTTTTAAGTTATTTATGAATTTTTCGAATTACATATAACATAAGTTATATCTCAATTGTTATCGGTTAATATGGATTTGAACTAAGAATGCGAATAAAAAAAATTACAAAATAATAATTTGTCATTCATCACATAGATTTTATTTGAAACAATTGTTTTTGTTTTTGGGTAACTGGATTATTACAAAAATTTTAGATAAAGGAATTTTTATTCATTCTATTAACTGTTGTAATTCGAAAAGTTCTTAAAAAATTCAAAAATTGTGTATAAATTATATGTTACAGCTAAAAACTGTTATATTAAATGAAAAAAAAAAAAAAAAAAAAAAACTTAAGAAAGAATTTATATGATTTTTTGAAAAATGATAAGAAACAATTGTTTTTGTTTTTGGGTAACTGGATTATTACAAAAATTTTAGATAAAGGAATTTTTATTCATTCTATTAACTGTTGTAATTCGAAAAGTTCTTAAAAAATTCAAAAATTGTGTATAAATTATATGTTACAAGCTAAAAACTGTTATATTAAATAAAGTAAAAAAAAAAAAAAAAAATTGAAAGAATTGAAGTGTAAATACAGCGTTTTGTTAACTGTTATAAAGAAA